TGAGCCCGGTGCGGGGGGCGGCGATGGCGGGGGGGCCGCCCAGGCCCTGTGCCCGGGCTGCGCGGAGCCGCGCTCACCGCTCTTCGCCCTGAGCGGAGCGGAGGAGCGGCGGGACGCGGCCGCTGCCTAGGCCTGGGCTGGCGGCGGACCTGCAACAATTACCCCGACGGCTCCTCCTTGTGAACTTCGCCATCCTCCAGGTTACCTCGCCTCTCCCAGCCGGGGAGGCTCTGGGTGTTTCGGACTCTCTGACAGGGACCTGCGCTTCTGCGTTGCCAGCAGACCCTGGATTTTACCCGAGCTGCCCGTGCAGTGCTGGATAGCCAGGCTGCAAGTTCACACAGTCATCGTGGATGTGTTCAGGTTCTAAACTTTTACCTCAGCGTCTTCCCCTTCACCGAATTCATGGTTTTTGTACTGAGAAATGCTCTGGGCAAGGGGTGATGTGAAATGCCCTTGGGGATAGAAGCTGGATGACTGTTACGTGGTGTCATCCCCCCAAAATTTCTTGCCCGTTACTGGCTATAAAAATGTCAGTAACCAAAGGCTGCCCTAGATAAAGCGTTCAGGATCAAGACTGCAGGTTTTCAGAGTCTGGATCTAATCTCCCACCGCAGAATAGGACCTGTTTTTGTTAAAGTCTGAGTTGCACTTCTCTAATTTAATAACCAGGCGCCAAGCTTCCAGGCTTAAACTGTCTCTTGGCCAAGCAATTCTAGTCCTCCAACCTGCAAAATGGGTCCCTTAATATAAAAAACGGCTAGATTTTGCAAGAGCTATCCAAATGTGATCCGTAATTCTCAGCATCTTGTCTAAGCTAACGCAGAGCAGCTCTCTTGGACCATATGATGACTAAAATGCTGGTGTAAGTGAGTCTCCCGGCGTGCGTGTGCTCTCCCACCCTTCCTGCGGACGCCAGAACCGCGGTGTTTGGTAGCAGCCTTTGGAAATCACAGGACATCATCCTGGTGTGGATCTTGCTGGGGAGGTTTGCAGGTGTGGTCACTGCCTGGTGCATCTTCTCACCCGGTGTGAACCGTGTTGCCTAAAGAGCCCCATGGTCCCTTGCTCAGACTGTCGAGGGAGCCATTAACAAGCGCGTGACACCTGACTGTAGGTTGTGTTCGTAGAAAAAAAAGGTGCTTCGTTGTCAGATTGGATAAGTCAGTCTGGTTTAAGATGTTTGGATGAATTGGGTCACAATTTATGTTAAATGAAAGAAACAATGAGGCGTTTAATGGGAAGCAAAGAGCTTCTGGGCTGCCAAAATAATACTGAGAGTGTATGTAAATGTGATAGCCAGGTTCTTTGCTACAGAAAATATAAAAACCATTCATAGAAATTATATGGAGAGAAGAAATATTCTGCTGTGCTATGAAGGAGATTGCGATCGTTGTTTTATCTTGAAACATAGGTACAATACAGCATCAGAATTGAACTGGCAATCCATGTCCCTTACAAACATTGGAAGATTTTATCACAAAGATGACTAGTTGGGCTAAGCCCTGTGTGTAAGAACGATACAGACAGCAGCCCTGTGCTGTGTGTTCACCGTGCTGGTTGGGAAGCGAGATCTACAAGTGATAAAATGCTGAAAGCGCTTGGCAGTGGGAGGAACACCCAGCCTGCCTGTATTGTTATTCATTTCTGTGTTACTGTTCTATTTGATGGAGGGAAGTAATAGAAATGGAGAATAACAATTCAAAACATTGAGAAGCTTATGACCTGAGCCAGTTCTGCATCGAAACGAAATTGTGTTGCCCGTACTGGTGCACCGGAGGCACAGATTTACGCAGGTGGGAGGACGGGGGCTGTAGCTCTCCCTCCTCTGCTGCCAGCGCCGCTCCTGTCACATGATGTGACTGCACAGTCCTTTGCTCGCACTGCAGCTGCGCTCGCCCTGGCGTGTGCCAGTCAGATTTCGCCTCTTTTTGCATCACTTTTATTCTGGTTTAGCTTTGTTGGCCTGATATGGAACTGTTGATAAACTGCTGCGGTATAAATGGATAATGGGAATTCATTTGATCATCTGGACGCATTACTTTCTTGGCTTATCTTTTATTCTGCGTGGCGCGCTTTGGGCAAGGAAGGAAGAGTTCTGATGTGAAGGCCTATTCTGAGGTGATGCTATGGCCTAAATAGCCAAAATGTGACTGTATTTTAAACAGAAAACCCCAATGCCCCACCACCAACTCCCAAAAGCATGATACAGCTATCAGAGTCTTATCACAGAAATCTGCGTGTTGATGTCTTTTTTTTTCTCCGAACTTTTCATAGGGTTTTTTTTCCCTAAAAAGGTTTGGTTGAAGCAATCTTTGTAGAAGAAAACCAAGGACCTGTACATGCAAGCTTTAGAATAATTTTCTTTCGTATTCTTGCATAAGAACATTCTGCAGGCTTGGCTTTCGTAGCCGAGTTGCTGTCTTTAAGCACATAAGCTCTTTTCTGGCTATATAGTTTTTTTAACCAGGCTGGAAACAGAGGTATGGAAGGGGGTATGTGTTGCAGCAGAAGGAAACAGTTTAAAGGAGTGGACCAAATTGTGTGTGGGAGCTGCATGGTGGGTCAAACAGAGGTCTGTTTCTCTAAAGTATGTAAGTTAGCTGCCAACACAAATATTACCTAGCGTTTTACATGTGCTGAGAGAAGGCAGTACAGCCCTGCAACAGGAATAGAATAGAATAACCATCAATCTGGTTCCCTGAGGATGTCAGTCAAGAAAGGAAGTGTGTGATGCCAAAAAGCCTGGATGGAACAGCAGGTTTAGAGGACTCATCGTTTGAAGTATTTTTAATTATTACTATAATGGAACACAGACTAGAAGCTGAATTTTTTTAAATATAATTACAGCAGAAGTCAGCAGAGGGATTTCTCTGGTGCGTGGCAGTGGAACAGCCCAGGAGCAGCTCCTGCTCAGGAGGGTGAATTCCCAGAGGGATGCCGTTCCCCGGGCCGTTCCCAGCACGCTGGCAGCTTATGGCCAAACGCTGGCTTGGAGGGAAGAAGTGGGCTGGATGGATCAAAAAGCTTTCCTGAGCTCGTGCCGCATTCTCTTTTGTCAGAGTCCCGTTCCAGTTGGAAGGCAGCCATGGACACCTTGGCTGAGAATGCTGACAAGGTGCAGAGTGTGAGGGTAACTGCCCTCCGGATCGGACGCTGCCCAGAGATGCTGTTGGGGCCATCTAGGAAATAATTTGACTTGCTAGCAAGGAGCCTCTCCATCACATCAGCATCACGCTACAGTGTACAGCAATCATTCCGTTTTGAATTAATGAGTGCACATCAAAAGAGTTAAAACATCAGTTGTTTTCTGAGTAAAGAAAGCAAAAAAAAAATCTATCTTGTAAGTCGGATGCTTTTCAGGAACTTGGCTGCTCTAGATGCAAGAGGCATGTGCTTTTCCGCCCTGCTTTAGGTGATGGCTTAGTTCAAGGGGGCCCAGATTTGGCTCAGTCAACAGTTGTGTTGGCGTTTTGCCATCGAATGTGCGTAAAATGGAGCTGACTGCAATTCCCTCTTCACTCTAACATGGAGGGGCATCCCGGGGAGACCTGAGGCCCCGGTATGCCTTGCTGTAGGTTGACTTGGCTGCGAGAGTTATACTGGGATGTGCGTTCCCTGCAGCATAAGCTGGTGTATTGTGATTTGATCGTTGCTTTCAAGTCCCTGGACTGTATTTTGATGGCTTGTCATAACTAATGCATTTCAACCCTTGTTGTGCCTGTGCTTCCAAAATCTTTCTCCCTTCTCACAGTGGCTTACGTGCTTTTCCAGATGCACGAGGCTCATACCTCATTTGCAGTCTCTTCCTATGATTTTGTGGCTTACGTGCAGTGCCACAAAATCAAGATAAAACACAACGGGCATTTTAGCTGCTCCAAGAACTTCGTGTGTAAATAAACCACTAAATAGTTTAGCTTGTGAAATGTAAATACACACAGCCCACCACAGCTGATGGTGTTTTTCTATCTCCCTTCTTCCCCTCCCACCCCTGCCAAGAGGAGGCTAGCCTGATGTTCTCTTTTCTATTGCTCTTTCATACAATGCAAATGACTGCTAAGTACCATGTAGGTGGCATGCAGGCACCACCGCAGATTCAAGATTTGAGTTTGGATGAAAGGAAACATTTGTGTCCCCTTCCACATTGCTTCTGAACCATCTTCTGGGGATTCCTGGACTCCGATGACCCAGAAACTCTGCCCTGGTCTGACTTTGAGCTTGAGCTCGTTTTTAGTAGCAAACTAGTTAAGTCAGTAGAAGAGCAGAGGCCCAACTGTGATGACATTTTTAGCCTTTGCCCTTTGTTCATCCTATACACAAAAGGTCATGAACTGCAGTGAAAGAGGGATCACAGAGGGCGCGGAATGGACAAAGGTGGAACAAATTGCCAGTGGCAGAAACATAAAGAAGAGAAGCAGAAGTTTTGTGTTATGAAGGTAATAGAAAAAAAGCCACATGCATCCCGCGGTGATATCATGTCTTGTATTTAAAGTGAGTCTGCCCATAGTGAACGTAGGAGACTCTGCTGGTAAGGTGTGGCTTAGATGATCTCAATGCAGAAGGCAGGAAGGGACGACACTCTGTTTCCATGGTGTGATGTTAATGAGCAGCTCGTGTTGTTCTGGGAGAAAAGATGCCAAAGCTGCAGTCCTGGATACAGACAGGTATGCTTTAGGCAATAAAAGGATTTTTAAAGGTGTGTGAAACAAATGAAAAGCCTGATTCTATAGACTAAGGACTTACTTGAAGCTAAAATAATAGGATTGGCACTGCATGCTGGATATTCGGACTCGTTTGACTTGGAATGGAGTTGAATGTTTGGCGTTGGCTGTTTCCCTGCAGGAAGCCTTGAGACTGTTCCTGCTGAGGTGTCAAAGGTAATGCAGAGGTGGCAGCTCACATTAACTCCGAGGTCTTAATTTGAGACAGTGTTTGCAGATCTTCTGGTATGCTGAGGAATGAACTACACGGCCATGAAAGTATTAAACTTTACGTTTGCGGTAATAAAATTCTTGTGTGTGCCTGCTATCTGTCCCTTCCACTCGCTATAGCAGTGTGCATCTGGAGAACTGTGTGTGCGTGTTTTTATCTTGTTTTCTTATATATCCCCTCCCCTCTCTTTTCCCCTTTTTAGGGAACAAAGTTTATGCAATCACACAGTCAGGTTTCCCCTTTTCTCATCTTTTCCAAGCAGCTTATAAATCACTTGTCCAGTGTAGCCAGTGTAGAAGAGTATCTAGCGAGTAATTTTCAGAACTCTGAGGAAGCTGAAGGAGAGCGACACGTTTGGTGCATCTGTTAAAGGGAAGTGCAGACAGAAGAGAGTTGTCGTGCAGGAGGCATCTGGCCAGCCACTTGGCGTGTGGGGAGCACCGGACGGCTGAAGCCGTTCCCTTTGCTGGGCAGGAGAGCTGGGTGGTTGTGATGGGGAGAGAAGGATCCGCAGGGCATGGACGGGGCTTCCTCTCGCTGTGAAAGAAGATGGCTGGCTGTGCACGAGCGTGTGGGCTGGTGCCACAGGCTCAGCTGGGGTTGTATGTTTTTATTATTTTTAGAAAATGTCTTCCCTCTTGCCAGACCTTTAGAGATAGTACTGCTTTTGCAAGTTAGCTGTAAAAATGGTACATTTTGGTTTGAAAAAAATACTTTCTTGGAGAATTCCCAGTAGGAGTAGAGCTGGTTGCATTTGCAGGTGATTTTCAGTCAGCCACAGTGGAATTTGTTTACAGAATACAAGTTTTTCAGCCCCCTAGTTCATGCTGCATTTCTCCTTAGTGCCCTTTTGAAAGAAGCAAACATCCAGGCAGAGAGAACAGGATTTGACCAGCGTTATCAACTAAATAAAATAGCTCCTTGTTTCTCTTTCTTCAGCCACATTTTCAGTTGCTTTTTATTGTTGCGTTCAAACAAAAAATGTCTCCAAAGCCTGGGCTCTGCCCAAGCCCTTTTCATTGTGTATTCTGTGTGCATGTTTATCCAGCAGTGAGCGTAGCTGGTACAGAAACGCTCTAGCTGTTAAGCTAGGCCTGGGTATTGCTGCCCTCCTGGACTGCTGACCCTACCAGGGGTCCCGGCGTGGGCTCAGCCCGCTCGCAGATGCCTCCCGCAGCGCCCGAGCCAGCTACTGTAAAAGGAGCTTGGTAGGTCTGAGGAGCTGCAGCCACTGCAGTGCAGACGTGCCCCGAGGTGAACAGTGGTTGGGGATGAGAAATGTCTGTGTTTGCTTCCAACTTTTACTAAAAAGCCTGGAATAATAAAGGACTCCTTTCCCCTCCCCCCCCCCCCCCC